ATTTAACATTAACCAGCACTTGTTCTTTTCTGTCTAAATTTTACAAGTTTTTATTTATTTATTTATTTATTTATTTTTGCTATAGAGCATGTGCACTCAGTGGAGAGAGACAGAGAGAGGGAAAGTGAGAAGTTATTCCCTGGGGAGGGGGGAATGGCCGCACTGATTTAACATTTTAACCACCATACCACCTGCTGGCCCCTTGAGTCTTTTTGAGCTCAACGCAAGAGTGACTTTTGTGTTCGTTTATTTCTTCTGTGAGAGAGACAGTGAGACAGTGGCCCTAACAGCATCTTGATGCACTGCCCCCGCCCCCCACCACACACACTTAGCCTGCCCTGATCAATGGGCATGCATGTGCCCAGTGTGTTCTGGGAGATCTCTGGACTTGAACCTGGGACTTTCCCATGTAGCTCAGCCTTGCAGAGCATTGTGTTGCAGCTATGCCACCATCCTGCCCCATGACTGGCTTTTTGTTACTCAAGCTACTGCTGAAATATCACCTCCTCACAGACATTTTTGACCCCTCCATCTATACAACCCCGGCCACCCATCGCTCTCCACTTCAAAACTTGTTTCATGGGACCAGCAGTTAGCGTAATGGTTATGTCGCTGGACTCCCATGAGTCGACCGTGGTTCGAGACCCGAACCCGGTGGCTTAAACTCACGCCGGGCATGTGTGCATGCGTGCCCAAGATCCCGAGAGGAGAATGGAGGAGAAGGGATTCCGGCATGGCCATCCCCCCTGGGGGGTGATTTCTAGCTTTCTGTCTCTCTGTCTCTCTGTCTTTCTGGCGAACGCACGTGCCCTATAGCAAAAATTCCCCCCCCCCAAAAAAAGAGCTTGTGCGCTCATGACCTGAGCTTTAGTATGTCCTCGCTTGCTGCCTGCCTGCCTTTCCGTCCCTAGGATGAGCCATGAAGCAGGGACACAGTGGCTCTCCCACTGCTGCCCAGAGCTGGACCTGGCACGTGGCACTGCCTGGGAGTTTAGAGGCTAAGGCTGCAAAGTCTCTAGGGGCTCCCTGGGGACAGAGGCCAGAGTAAGTGTGCGTGTGTGTGCACGTGCGCGTGCATGGAATAGAGGAGGCGAGGTGTCTCTCCTACATCCAGAGTAAGTGTGTGTGTGTGTGTGTGCATGTGCGCGTGCACGGAATAGAGGAGGTGAGGTGCCTCTCCTCCCTCATCCTACATCCAGGGTGGGGCCTGCAGGAGGTCCGCAGCTCTCCTGCCCTGTTCCCTGAGGGAAATCAGGAGCAATGACCCATCCAGAGCTCCATAGATGCAGGCTGTCAGGGAGAGGGGATGGAGGGAGAAGGCGGCATCTCCCCCGTGACCCCAGCATTCGGGGCTGAACACGGGCCCCTCTCATCCCCCTTTGGCCTATCTGCTGGCCAGGAAGGGCTGGGTGCTTCTGCTGCCTCTTAGCCTTGGAGGGGCCTGTGCTGTTGTACACTGGAGCCCAGGCCTGTGTCCTGGCGCCATGTTTGCTTCCGGGCCACACCTGCTCCTCTCTTCTCTCCTGGCCTCCTGTCACCAGGGCCTAACAGGCCCCTCTCACAGCATTCTCTGTGGGCTCCAAATTCTCACACTCTGGACTGAATGGTGTGTGGGGTTTCCTGCATCTCCTCTACGCTCCCTGCCACCTCCATCCCACTCGCACTTCTTGGAGTCAGCGCCCACCCCTTGGCCCCTGGTCCCTGCCAGCCCTCCCCATCCCTGCAACTCCTAGGCATGTGACAGGGAGTCCAGAAAGTCCCCAGAGGCCCCCACCCACACCTGCTGCCTGTCTCCACTGAGGAGGGACTCTCAGTATCCATTGTCCCCCTCCTCCACCCCTGCCGAGGGGACTCGGCTTTGATTGACTTGTGGCTGTGGGTGGACAGACCAGCAAGGATTTGCACGGGGCTGCTGCTCCAGGCCCAGTGTGGAAGGCACAGCCCAGCAGCTCAAGCTCCCCTCACCCCAAGCCTGGCAGTCACCCTCGAGCCGTCAGCACTCCGGGTTCTGGAGCTCCCAGCCCTTTCAGGGCCCAGAACGCTCAAGCAGGAAAAGATTTCAGGGTTCAGAGGTTTGTGCAGTGGGCTCTGCAGTGGCCCAGCGCCGATCCGTGTGCATTAGTGTGTGCGTGCATGTGTGTGTAAGCACACTAACAATGGGGCTCTGGGCCACATCTGTCTTTTCACCACAGAACCCCAAACTTTCTGTTATTAGTGGAGGTCCCACACAAGCTACTACTTAAACAAAAAGACCTATTTTATTATTTTCACAAAGCACCCCCTGGGGGAATGACCACATCGTAATCCTGTCTCGTCCACTCTCCCCTCAGGATTTTGGTCACGTGTGCACATGCACCCATCACGTTTTTCTTTTTATTTTTTTTTCATTATTATTATTATTGGAGAGGTTTTTTTTTACTATAGGGCACATGCGCTCGCCAGACAGACAGAGAGAGACAGAGAGACAGAAAGCAAGAAATCACCCCCCAGGGGGGATGGCCACGCCGCAATCCCTTCTCCTCCATTCTCCTCTCAGGATCTTGGGCACGCACGCACACGCGCCCGGCGTGAGTTTAAGCCACTGGGTCCGGGACGCAAACCGCGGTCGACTACATGGGCGTCCAGTGACATAGCCATTACGCTAACTGCTGGTCCCCCCCCTTTTCTTTTGTGAGAGAGAGAGAGATTTTGCTATAGGGCACATGTGCTCACTGGAGTGATAGAGACAGAAAGTGAGAAATCACCCCCAGGGGGATGGCCATGCCATCTCCTCGTGGGATCTTGGGCACACGTGCCTGGCGCCCATCATGCTTTTCAAGCCACCGTGTCCGGGACTTGAATTGCACAGTCGGCCACTTGGGATCCAGCTGCCTGAATCACCACATCACCTGGCTGGCCTGAGGATCCATTATTCTAAAGTAAAGGTTTGAAAGCCATGAGAACTAAACAAATTTTATTTTACACATGGGGAAACTGAGGCCCAGGGGAGCAAGCAGCTTCCCGAGTTCACGGTGGTGTCAGTGGCCAAGGCGATGCTGCACCAGGCTGCCCGCCTCTTTGCAGTGTGTTGGCCAAGAACAGGCTGGAATGTCCCCCTCGTGGGGGACGCAGGTGGGGCCGAGTACCAGGAAGGCAGCGGAAAGAGGAGTGGGCTAAGGTCACAGCCTCCCAGACCTGAGGCCCCAGACGTTCCCGGGAGAGCAGATGCACTGGAGAGGCCACTCTGTTCTTAACTGGAGGATCCTGGTTGGGAATGGGAAGGGGCAGGATGAAGGAGGCAGTGGAGTGGGGAGGGGACAGGTGGTAGAGGTCTAGCCTGATTACTCATCCCGGCCCCAGACAGCCCCCCTCCCCGCACCTGATTGCAACAACTCCCCTCCACTGAGGGGAGGGGACAGAGGGAACCATAATACACGGAGGCATGAAGGGGCTGGGTGGGCCCTGGAGTGAAGACTGCTGGGGTGGAAGGGGGTGCAAATTTCTGTCCCTGGCTGTCAACAGTAGACATGGCACAGGAGGGGACTCTGTAGTGCTCACTGTGTCTCCTCCCAGGGCCCAGCTGGGCACCCAGGAAATGACACTGAATGGGCGGATTGTGTCCATCCTTCCCCAGACGGTCACCAGCCTTCTCCCTCCCTCATCCCTGTCCTTCAGAGATTACAAGGACTGAGTTATTCTTAGCAGGTTTCATTCATCAAAGCGTGACAAGTGGTGTCCTGGGAGACACGCCTGGGTGCCCTGGGGAGTCAGGGGAAGGGTGCAAACGTCCCCCCTGAGAGGAGCAGCCATTGCTGGGAGCCCCAGCCTGCAGGGAATAGCCCTGTCTTCAGGGAGCCTCAGTCTTCACTGGACACATTCCATGTGCCCGAGGAGCCCCAGTCTGAAGGGTGGAAACACAGCCCTGTCCTCAGACAATAGAGAACCCCAGTCTAAAGGGAGAAATGGAGGTTCCTCTCGCCACTTCCCCAGCCCTCAGCGAGATCAGGCAGAGGGAGAGATCCAGTTGCCTGACCTCAAGTCACCTCTAGCGTCAGTGCAGAGGACCCGTGAGAAGCCGGGCACACACCCAGGACGCAGACTGCAACCCGAGGTGGAAAATGGGCCCCAGGGCAGAGCCAGGAGCAGGTGCAGCTACCTGCCGCCATGTCCAGGGAGCCTAAAGATGGAGGAGGGGGCTCCAGGGACAGACGCTCCCCTGGACACCGGCAGACCGCAAGGGCTGGCCATCCTGCAGACGGAGGTCCTAGCCTTAAGGAAAGGGTAAAGGCACAGGCCAGGTGGGCTGTCCCCCCCCCTTTTAAAAATTTGCTATAGGGTGTGTGGCAAGTGAGAAAGTGAGAAGTCACCCCCTTCAAGGGGATGGCCATGCTGCAGCCCCTTCTCCACTCTCCTCTCAGGATTTCAGGCACACACACGCATGCGCCTGCTGTGATTTTCAACTGCAGGGTCCAGGGCTTGAACCTAGCAGTCAGCCATTTGGGGTCCAGCTGCCTTAAGCTCCACACCATGCACTGGCCCAGGTGGGCTCTTTTTTTTTTTAGATAGATTTTTGCTGTAGGGTGTGTGCATTCGCCAGCGAGGCAAAGAAAGAGGAAGTAAGACCCCCTTCCCCCCCCGCCCTGGGCCAATGGCCATGGCACAATCATTTCTCCTGCAGACTCTTCTTGGGATTTTGGGCATGCACACACTAGGGCCCGTTGTGAGTTTCAAGCTGCCAGGCCCGGGACTCAAACATGTGGGAGCCCAGTGCCTTAACTACTATGCCACCTGCTGGCCCAGGTGTCTGCCTTTGCCAACAGGGAGAACCCGCGTTGTCTGCAGGCTCTCTCAGTCAACATAAAGCTACATACACCTTGCCAGCTGGACCGACCCTCTGAAAGAGTGAACTTGGCCCGGGGCCATGAGTTTGCACTCCTTGGACATCAGGCAAGCATTTCTGATGGAGAAGAGAACTGAGCCTGGTTGGATGGAGACTGTGAACAGCCCTGGCCTCTGTGCCTTCAGGACCTCCTCCCACCTCTGCTAGACAGGGAGACCCAGCACCCCGACAACTCCCCAGTTCCCTGTGACCAACTGGTCACAGTTGGTCAGCGATGGGAGTGGGGGAGTAGGGAAGAGGGCGGTGTTGGGAGGTTGCAGGTCTGTGCTGAGAAATCTGCTTTCCTTGCAGACAGGCGATTGCCCATTGTGGGGAGGAGCCTGTGGTTCTGGTCTTAAAGCCACAGTGAATGAGCTGACCCGGAAGTTCTGGCTGGGTGGCCTTTTCTGAGAGCCTTCACTTTTCCCTGCTTCAGGTGCAAAATGGGGATGCAGTTGCCCTGCGGGCTCTATCTATCCTTCCTCCTGACAGTCCAGTTTCCCAAGTAGGCCTCAGTGTCCCTGCCGCCCACCTGGGTCCCTGCTCTCTTCCCACTCTCCCAGTTCCTTCCAGCAGAGGCCTTCCAGGGCAGCAGGCTTAGAGGTCAGTTTCAGGTTCCAGGTCCCACCTCCCCAAGTCCCACTTCCCTGCTCCCTGCACAACGTGGGACCCCCATCAGTCTTCTGAGACTTAAGGTCAGTCCTAGAGGGCGTTGGAGGCGGCAGTCCGCGAAATTGGTGCTCCTGGGATGGGGGACCGAGTAAGGGGAGTAGGGAAGGGTCAGATTCTAGGGCTGGGGAGGGCCGGCATAATTGCGGTACGCTGGCCCGGCGCTGCAGAGCAGGCGGATGACAGCCGCGGAGGGTAATTAGAGCGCATTAGCCGTGCCCTGCAATCCTGTCATTTCTCCGCGCGCTCCGGGTGTGTTGCAGGACGTGAAGCGATGCCGGCTCGGCTGTGAGTCAGATTCTCAGAAGCCCGGGCGGGGCCAGGGGGCGGCAGAGGCCACGGAGAAGGGACTCCAGCCGAGTGAGGCGCCGACGCCTTCCTCTTCCCCTTCCCCTATAGAGAGAGGAGTCACCTGTCCTGGGGCTCTTGGCGGTGCGCACCTCTGGCGGACTGGCGCGCAAGGGGCAGGACCGGTGCCGCCTCCGGACTCCAGGGGGCGCTCCATTTGCTCGCGGATCCTCCCCGACGTCGAGTCCGGCGTCTGCATCCAGCCTGTGCCCTGCCCCTCGCGTGCAGGTGGACTGAAAAAGAATGATGCAAATGCAGGAGGCGAGGCCGACACTTCCCCAAATCCCAAATGTCCCAGACCTGTCCAAGACCCGCAGCAGACATAGGGCAGCCCTAGAAAAAACACATCAGGAGGGAGAGGGGGGGGAGTGGGGCCCCACGTTGCTGTAGAGCCCTGAAATCAATTCTGGGGGAGCGGGAGGAGTCCGCGTGGGGGTGGGGCGGGGAGGGGAGTTTATTTATTAGCCAGATTAGCC